AGTAGTAGTAGTAGTAGTAGTAGTAGTAGTAGTAGTAGTAGTAGTAGTAGTAGTAGTAGTAGTAGTAGTAGTAGTAGTAGTAGTAGTAGTAGTAGTAGTAGTAGTAGTAGTAGTAGTAGTAGTAGTAGTAGTAGTAGTAGTAGTAGTAGTAGTAGTAGTAGTAGTAGTAGTAGTAGTAGAAGTAGTAGCAACAATGCTAATAGTCGTAGCAAGCGTAGTAGTAGCAGCAGGAGTAGTAGCTAGAATCGTAGTAGTGGTCGTCGTCGTAGAAGTAGTCGCCGTCGTCGTAGTAGCAGTTGCAATGATGGTAGTAGTAGTCGTGGTAGTAGTAGTAGTAGTAGTAGTAGTAGTAGTAGTAGTAGTCGTAGTCGTAGTAGCAGTAGTAGTAGTAGTAGTAGTAGTAGCAGTAGTCGTAGTAGTAGTAGTAGTAGTACTACTACTACTAGTAGTATTCGAAGCAGAAGTGGCAGTCTGGTGTGACGTCGTGACGGCTGTCACGTGTGATACATCGTCCACTCGGTCGTTGCTCCGCCTGTTTGGTCCAGTGGCCAGCCTGACCTCGGCGCGCACGTCTCGTTTAATAATATATCAGTGCGGTGTATGATTGCAGCGCGTTCCTCTTCAATCATGTTTTTTGGTTGTTCTCAAGTATGCCCCTCTGCTCTGTGGCACCGCGTCATATCATTGTATGTGTTGTCAGTTTATGTTATGTGATGCGTTGCTCAACGATGCTGGTGACGTCATGTTGAGTTCATCACGGTGAATGCTCCCTTGCAGTGTTATTACAGACCTTTTCGATGACAGTCTAGTATGTCAAGTTCTCTGCCGTAGGAGTGTCGATAGTACAAGAGTTGTGCTATGACATGTTGGTAACGCTAAACTCTGTTTTCTGCTCAGTACATTTGGCTATGTTCTTTTACCTTCTGCTATCTGATCAACTCTACGATGTTCGAGTGCTTTCGTTGCCGCCGTGATACCTATAGTAAGGCTGTTCTGATACGCTCTGACATGTTCTGTGGTGATGTACCCCATTATGTTCGGCTATGTCATGGTATGCGTTCTTATTGTGTGTTGTGTTCGGCGTCGCGCTCTGTCATGCGCTGTTCTGTCAGGACAGATTTGAGTATCTCGTATGTCCTTCTATTTCATTGTAGGTTACGCCGGGATCCGATAGTGTACATTTTGTCATAGTATGAAATGGTGTGGCTCCGTGTTACTTTATGATATGGTTTGCTATGTTGTGACATGGTATACTCTGTTATCGTACGCTATGCTCTGGTGCGCTCTGTCATAATGTGTCATGGTTTGAGTGGTATGAGGTGTTATGGCATGCCCTCTATGCTCCATGATGTCATCGCGTGTGTTGTTAAGCTGTGTCATGTAATGTTCTGTTCTGACATAGTATGGCATGCTATGCGTTATTATGCTACGGTGTTACGGTAGGATGCTGCGCTCTGTCATGGTATGAGTTGCCAGTGCATGGAATGTTAGGTGGTTTGATGGTGTGTTAGTGTGTGATATGTGATGTCATGGTTTTGTATGCAATGGTATGTTCTGCCATGGCATGACTTGCTATGCTCTATGCTGTTATGTCATGAGGTGTGGTACCATGCGTTGTTGATGTATGGCCCATGCTGTCATAGCTTATGGTGGTATGCTATGCTACGTACTGCTGTGGTGTAACATGTTATGCCGCGCTCTGTCATGATATGAGTTGACATATGTGCTGCTATGTTATATGTGGTGTGATGTGTGCTGTGGTGTTGTGTCATGTTGTGGTGCGTTATATCATGGTATTGTATGTTCAGCCATGTGATGGCATGCGATGGTGTGGTATGATATGTTATGTTATGGCTTGATGAGATCTGTTATGGTATGCGCTGTGAAGTTGCGTTGTGCTGTGATATGGTATACCATGTGTCGTGATGGTGTGATGTAGTATGGTTTGGTATGTTCAGTTCTACTACATTTTATTAGGTTGTCGTGGTATGGAAAGTTATGTTTTATGATAATGTGATATGGTATGTAATGCTCTGCCATGATGTGTTACGATGCGCAATGTCCTGATATGGTATGGTATGCTCGGATGTGTTATGTTAGATGGTGTGTGTTGTTGCTCTGGTCTGTCATAGTTTGTAGTCGTGTGTTGCACGATATTCTGCTTTTTAAAAATGCCGCTCTGTCATGTTATGATTTGTCGGCGCGAGGCGGGACACTCGGAGACACTCGGGGGACCTGGGGATCTGGCGGCCGCGGATTACAGAGCGGCGCGAGGCGGGACTCTCGGGGAAACTCGGGGACCTGGGGATCTGGCGGCCTCGCGCCACTCTGGGGACCTAGGCATCTGGCGGCCGCTGTATGCAACTCTCGGGGACACTCGGGGGACTTGGGGATCTGCGGCCGCAGTATGCAGAGTGACGCGAGGCGGGACTCTCGGCGGGGGACCTGGGGCCCCGTCGGCCGCGGTATGCAGGGTGGACGGGTCGTGAGGTCCGCTCTTGAAATCTACCGACCCCAACTTGTCGGATGGGAAAAACAGTCGAGCATTCAGACGCCACTCATCCGCTCCTCTGCTTCACGCTGCGGCGCGGCATGGCTTCGGTGATAAACAGTGCTCGGAGGTGGAGGCATCATGTTGATGGTATGGCAGCGCGAGGAAGCAATCATCCCTAGCCCGCCTCCTGACGGCCCCCCCGAGAACCGGAGTCGGCCCCAGCAGTCTGGCAGTGCCGAAGAGTCTTGGGCTCGATATGTTCTAGCAGGGCTGGACCTATACGGTGCTTTTCGTGATTTCGTAGGCCGTTTTCGTTTCGACTTCGTTTTGCGGCGAAGGCGGATTCGAGACAAAAGCGAGGGAAAACGAAAAGAAAACGAAAACGGAAAACACCGTTTAGGTTCAGCCCTGTGTTCTAGCCCCTGGACGTCTGGGGGGGAGAGCACGGGGCGTTCGGAGGGTGAGCGGGCGCCAGGAGGTGCTTGGGAAGCCAGCCGCACGCGGCTGATTCGCCAGCACCCCCGTTGTTGCCCTTCCACAAGTGTGCATACCACTCTCCTTGCTCCCTTGACCATGCGCGTACGACGTCCCGCCCTCTCCGTGTATTGTGCTTTATACACGGGGTTCCATGATTTGACATGTTCCATTGTTCTCATGTCCAGTCAGAACGTTCCCGGTGTTTCAACCTGGTGTTCTTGCTACGGGGTGGGCTTCATTTTAGGATCGGCGTTTTGTTCCCGTCGTGCATCATGGCGGTCACGCCCCAGTGCGGGCCTTTTCTCTGGAGCCGAGTCCCTCTCCATCGTTGTCGCCACTTCCTAGTCCTTCCCCCGCCTTGCCCTGATCATCTTTCCCTCCTGCTCATCTGCCACCTCTTCCTCCTCCTCTTCCGCCAAGGTGTGCGCAGCTCCCCGTTGCCGATTCCTCACAGCACGATGGGGTCCTTCTTGGAGTTCCAGGTTCGCAATGACACGCGTCGGCGAAAAGAGAACATCCCAGCGCAATGGGAAGGGATGGTTGGGAGGGGTAGGATGTCAGACATTGCGCGACCGCGCCTAGCTTCCCCCTCCCGTCTTCATCCACCCCGAGGGGTAGGAGCGAGCGGGCGAGCGGGGCGCTGGGAGGAACGAGCGAGCGAGGAGGGAGAAGCGAACGGGGGCGGGGGGGAGGAAGCCAGGGGCAAAGCGAATCCGAAAGAATTGCGAGCCCGGACACGCGAGGTCGGCCCGACTCCGAGCCTTCGGCCCATCGGGCTGAAAGGATCCCGGATACATGATCGGCCCAGTTGGACCTCGACGATTTGGGGCATTGGAAGGGGAGGGGAGCGAGGAGGAAGGGCGAACAGGGGGGGTGGAAGCAGGGAGAGGAGGGAACGACCGAACGAACAGGCGATAAGGAGGAGGAGGAGGAGGAGGAGGAGGAGATGGAGGAGGAGGAGGAGGAGGAGAGCATTCCGATTCCGCCGGTTCGATTCGAATCGATTTCCGCGATTCCGATTTCGAGCCGACTCGATTCCGGGATTCCGGGATTCCGATTCGCGATTCCGATTTCGAGTTCGCCCGATCCGGCTTCTGCCGATTCGATGCGTCAGCCGATTCCTGCCGGCTTTTGCCGATCCGGCTTCGCTCTGGCTCTGGCCCCCAAGGGGAGGAGGAGGAGGAGGAGGAGGAAGGAGGAACCCCCAAAAACCCCAAACCTCCCCAGGAGGGGGGGTCCAAAAGCCCCGGGACCCCAACCCCCCCCCCAGGGGGGTGGGGTCCAAAAGCCCCAGGACCCCAATCCCCCCCCAGAGGGGGTTTCAAAAGCCCCGGGACCCCAAACCCCCCCTATGGGGGGGGGTCCAAAAGCCCCGGGACCCCAATCCCCCCCCAGGGGGGGGATCCAAAAGCCCCGTGACTCCAAACCCCCCGGGGGGGGGGTCCAAAAGCCCCGGGACCCCAAACCCCCCCCAGGGGGGTCCAAGGGTTCCGGGCCGTGGGGTCCCGCGACCGTTTCGGCTCAAGCTGGCGTCATCTTCCGCGCGGGCGAGCCCGGTTCCAAAAACCCAAACACCCCCAGGGGGGGTTCCAAACCCCCCCCCCCAGGGGGAGGTTCCAAAAACCCCAAACCACCCTCCCCAAGGGGGGGGTCCGATTTCGATTCCGAACCGGCTTGACGCGGTCCGGTTTCGGACTCGATCCGGCTCGGACTTGCCGTCTTCAGCCGATTTCGATTTGGCTGCCGGCTTTTGCCGATTTCTGCCGATTCGATGCTCCGGTCGACCCGATCCGGCTTATCGATTCGATGCTGGGGCCGCCTGGGGGGAGGAGGAGAAGGAGTTGGAGGCGGAGGCGGAGGTGGAGGAGGAGAAAGAGGAGGAGAAGGAGGAAAGAGGAGGAGGAAGTGGAGGAAAGAGGAGGAGGAGGAGGAGGCAGGAGCGAGCGAGCAAGCGAGCAGTGAGGAACGAGAGGAGCGAGCGAGCGGGAGCGGAACGAGCGGGAAGGGAAGTGCTCGCGGAGGGCCCGAGGCGAGCATACACAGCCTGGTCGCCACGAAGGCCGCCGCCGCGGCCGAGGCTGCGAGGCGTGGGCACCCAGGGGGGGGGGGCGAGGAGGAGGAGGAGGTGGAGGAGGTGGAGATGGAGGAGGACAAACAGGGAGAGGGAAAAGAGAGAAGCGGAGAGGAGGCGGAGGGAGGAGGAGGAGGAGGAGGAGGAGGAGGAGGAGGAGGAGGAGGAGGAGGAGGAGGAGGAGGAGGAGGAAGAGGATGAGGAGGAGGAGGAGGAGGAGGAGGAGGAGGAGGAAGAGGAGGAGTGGAGAGGAGGGGGGAGGAGGAGCGGGAGGTGGGCAAAGGGAGAAAGAGGACGAGAGGAGGACGAGGGAGGAAGAGAGGAGGGAGGAGGAGGAGGAGGAGGAGGAGGAAGAGGAAGAGGAGGTGGTGGTGGTCCGTAGCCATGTTGGCCCAAGCCGTTGCCCGATCCGCCCTGGGCCAGGATGCACTCGGACAGGGCCCACATTCCCGACCAACTGCGGTCAGACGGTCGGCCTTCTCTTCTCCGCAGCATTGTTGCCGCCCCGTTCGAGTCTGTGCATTTGACCAACCGAAACACCACAGCGCCGCGATGTCCCATGGTTCAGTCGACGGCGTGAAGTCGCAAGCGTTTGATGGAGCCCCGGGCTGCCACAACGCGGAAGAGGGAGTTCCCTTGATCGCGCGGGAGAGGATGGCATGACAACAAGAAGGCGAAGACCGACGACGCGATGGCAGAAGTTGAACACATTCGGCCCTATGATACTAACAGTCGTGATCAACCCGTGGCCGCAGTCAACAAGCTCCAGAGCTCCGTGCAGGATTTCGGGAGGGCGACGGTTGGCAAGTTCGGTGGCCTCCACAAGTCGGTCAAGATCCGTTTCGCAGAGATGGCCAACGGGCAAGGTCGCACGGACGTCAGGGCTACCGTCCTCGAGTCCCGTGTTTGTGAATTTTCAGAACTGCTGCAGTGCACCAAACAAGAGGAGCCACAGGGCACCGTCATCACCACCGCCTTCGGTCGCATGGTGGACCAGTGCATTATCACCGCCCGCAGCAAGGGCATCCTGACGCAGCAAAGTGTTGGAATGGATTTTTGCATGAGACGGTCAACTTGATGGAGATCCCGCTGGAGAGAAGTACGCCCTTCGACCAAAAGGGAACGCCACCTACGCTGCCAAGAAGATCGCCAATGCGCTCAGTTCTTGCGGATGGTACACAAACAGTGCCATCGCTTTTGCGCCCCAGGCATCCACAGCATCGAGCATGGGGTATTCATCAGCAGTGGCAAGAGCCTCACGCAACGCAGATCAGGCGCGAGCTCGGCTCCAAACAGCTTCGCGAAGGTTTCTTGGGGGGGGCACCAGGCCCCTGCGCTTCAAGTCGGACAAGGCCAAAGGAGAGTCATCCCGTCAATGTGAACCGCTCGTCAAGTTCACGCCCCAGCCAGGCGACGCCCCATCTATCGCGCACTGGAACCGTGAGAATCCCGAGGATCTCAATATCAACGAGGAGCAGCCGTCCGCCGTTGTCGACAGGAGCGGGGGCCTGGCGCCGACACCAACGCGGCGTCTTCAGCCCGCTTTTGTCCGCGCATGGGGCGGCCCGAGATCTGCAGATTGGCCTCTAAGGCTGACAACTTGGCACGCCCAGCCCCTGTTCCATCATTCCTTTCTTGCGAGCAGAAAGTTCGCCAGCGACGACAACTCCTCCGCCCCCCAGGTTCCATCGTCGCGGCGCAAGAGAGTCACGGTAGTCTGCTGGAGTTCCGGGATTTTCTGTACCAGTCCGACGGGAAGTATCTAAAGACCTTCGGGCCATCCTGCCCCCGCGCCTGGGCTGTGGGTCATAGGCATCTTCCAGGATGTTCGCTTCTTGGGGGTCGTTTGGTGTCTCTTGGGGGTCGTTGCGAAGCTCCTCGGGCCGTCCCCGAGGCCTCGTGGGGTCCTCTCGGGGACTCTCGGACGCCCCGCGGGGCCTCCTGGAAGCTTCTTGGGACGGAGCACTCGGATTTAGGATTCGCGCTCCCCCTCTCACGCCCTTCCTGGGGCTGCGTTTGGGCCCTCTTGGGCCGACTTGGGCGCCCCTGGAGCCGTCTTGGCACCCTTCTGGACAGCGCTGGGGCCCCCCCAGGGGGCCCTGGGGCCGTCTCGCGGGGGCGGTGCAGGGGCCTCTTCGGCCGTCTTGGAGCGCCGGGGGCTCGACAAGCCGAGGGCCCCCCAATGATTAAATCATCGATGGGCAGTCAAGGATGTCGGCATCTCGGGCACTCTTGGGAAGGCTCTCGGGGCTCTCTTGCGGCGTCTCGGTGCTCCTTGGGCCCGTCTCGGGCCCACTTTGGACGTCTTGGCGCGATCGCTCGACGACCCGGGGCCTTCGCGCACCGTCTCGGGGGCCTCCCAGGGCCCTCCGGGCCCGTCTCGGGCCCCTCTTGGGCCCGAAAGCTTGGAGTCTCGAAACGGTCCTGTGACGGACCGTGCGGTGACCTCGAAGCCGCCCAAGACCTCACCGCACGGTCCGGCACCGCACGGTTTCGGGACCCTGGAGGCTCCTGTCGCCCGAGACACCCTCGGAGAACGACCCGAGTCCCGAAACCGCGCGGTGACCCCGAATACCCACCGACTCACCGCACGGTGTGGTCATCACCCCGTTTGGGGGTCCCAAGAAAATGTTCGCGGGAAGCCGCGGCGAAGCCCCCCCCGGCGAGGCGCGCCGAGCCTCGGCAGACGTGGCGTGTGGGGCCCCCCGGGCCCGTCGAGTATGCTCTGCGCGCAAGCGGGGGCCGAGGCCCCGAGGATTCAGTGGGGCGTGTCCCCCTACAGGGGGAGCTTCGACGAAAAATGAGAAATACCCAGAAAATATTCCCAAATGGTCAAACAATATTCAAAAAATGATCCCCATATTATTTTTTTGACTATTTCTGAATATTCCCCCTGTAGAGGGACAGGCCCGACTTAACCCGAGGATGGGGCGGAGGGCCTTTGGGGCGCGAGCCCCCGCCGCGCACGGCGGCGCGGCGGCGGATGGCGCCCAGCGTTCTCGATGTGCAGTCCCCCGGGCTGGCCTTAAGTCGGGCGTGTCCATCTACAGGGGGAATATCAAAAAATAGCAAAAACAAATATTTGGACATTTTTTTACATTTGCTTAGCAAGCTTGGGGCATGTTCGGGGTATTTGTTTTCCGTCGACAGTCCGCCTGTAGGGGGACACGCCCGACTTAACCCCATGCTGGCCGCTGCCCCCCATCCGCAATGTTTGTAGGAGGACGGCTCTGAGGAGCCCCGGGTGAGTCGGGGGCGGCAAAGAGGGGGGTGATGACTAGGGGGGGGATATCATGGCGGGGGCCATGATATTTCCCCAGATTTCATGGCGCCTCTGCTTATTATATTACGTCCCTGGCCCCCCCGCTGGGCCGCGCACATGCCGCCGGTCATGATTTGCACCCCCCCCTCTTGGACACCCTCCTCTTGGCCGTTCCCGAGTGAGTAAGGATTAGTTTGCCCTCGGGATAGCCGCTTGGATCCATCTGGAGCTCGAGGAAAACGACGCAGCGATCATGCACAGTTTAGCGTCGGCGGCCAGGCAGAGGGCGACTGCGCTGGCGATATAAGCGTAGAGCGGGGGCACCGTTGGAGCGACTTCTGCCGCCGCGCAGGTGGAGGAAGGAGGAGAAAAAACACACAGACACAATTAATCTGTGATTCCCCCCAGAAAATAGGGGAAAATATGGGCAGTGGGGGGGAAGACAGAAACCCCCGAAAATATGAGAAAATATGGGGGATCTTTTGATTTGTGTGTATTTATTTGTGTGTCCCAGGGCCCCTTCAAGCATCCAGTAGTGCAAGCTCGGCTCCGAGGGCAAGAAGAGCAGCACTGAAGACAGACGTGCCGATCTCTGTGCCGACGAGGGCACGGCTTCCAGGAGCAGCCTTGTCAGAGGGGATTTCTCCGCTTTGCCGCCATCCCACCCACGGGAAGGAGGCCGACGCTGACCAGGGCGATCCAGCGCACAGAGCATTGAAAGAGCGGCGCGCGCAGCACTGCTCAGTCTGGACGGGGTCTCTCAATCGCTTGGTCGAGCTCGAGGCCCCCACAAGAGGAGGCACATCAACATCCACTTCCATCGATGTTGATGTTCCTCCTCTTGCGGGCCAACTTCTGGACGGGGCAACAGAGTTTGGAGGCTGACGTTCGGGCTTGCGCGGGCGACGTCGGGCGGCGATAGACAGGATCAGCACGCCGCGCCCGCTGGAGGCAGTCTTCACCTGTAGCGAGGCCTTTGCGCGTCTCATCCTGAAGCGTTCCAAGTGTCTCATCGCGCCGCTAGCGGGGCCGGCTCCCTAACCCTGGCAGATAAATCTAAGTCTTCGGCCCGAGATCAGTTGCCGCCCTGGGGCTCGCCCAGGACGTTCCAGGAGCGCCTCCCCGACTCGCGCCTCGATCCCCTGGCCCGCTGGCCAATTTGTTTCTTGCTTTCGCAGGGGGGCCCTCTTCGCGGCGACCAAAGGCGCGCGGGTTTCTTTCTTCCGCGCGCGCCTTTGCATTGCAATCCTTCATCCCCCCTGGCGGGATTATGATTCGCACTCGAGCACGACAAGCACAAGCGCGCGCTAGCGTGCAGCTACTACAGCGCGGCTTGTACCAACGCGCAACGCGATGGTTTGTCTACCAGCTGCCCCTCGAGCTATTTCAGCGCAAGCTCCAGCACACATTGACTACAACTAATCCTAGAGCGCTGCTGCATTACATCAGGAATCTGGGCTCTCGCAGTTTTCCCCTGGTTGCGCCACGGGGCGGTGGGGCCCCGCCCGCAAGCGCCCCCCTGGCTGAGAGCTCACTCCTCTTACGTAATTTGAGACGGAGGCGATGCCCGCACACGAACCCTTCGCCAGGGATCCTTCCTTCCGCGGAAGCCCTCCCGTTTGATGTGTTCTCCATTATGATCCTGACGTCTGACATGTGCAAGCAGCAGCTTCAAGGATGGAGGGCGGGCGGTCTTCAGGTCGCGGCCCTCGTCTTGGTGTCGCGCACGCTCGTCTAAAAACAGTTGCAAGAGAAAGCTTCAGAGATGGAGGGCGGGTGGTTCTCGACGTGTGCCTCGCGCCTTCGCGCCTTCGCGCCGCGCAGAGATGGAGGGCGGGTGGTTCTCAACATGTGCGTTTTGGCCTTCGCGCCACGCACACTCGTTGCCAACGCTTGCAGCAGCTCCACGGCTGGAGGGCAGTACCTTTCTCTCTTGCGGTCCTCGCTGGAGCGCCGCGAGCAGTCGTCCCAGCGCCCGCTGCAGGAGCTCCACGGAGGGAGGGCCGGTGGCTTCCCAGGAGGGAGAGAGAAAACACACAGACACCATCAATCGTCGATTCCCAGGAGATGATGGGAACATGTGGGAAGTGGGGGGGAGACAAGAACCCAGAAAGAATGGGAGAGTATGGGGAATCCTTATGTTTGTGTGTAATTAGTTGTGTGTCCTGGGGCCCCTTCAGTTTTCCAAGTGTGGTTCTCGCCCCAGCGCCGCGCGGAGTCGTGCCAAAAGTCTGCAGGCGCTTCGCGGCTGGAGGGCGGGTGGTGTTCAAAATCCGGTTCTCGCCCCAGCGCCGCGCACGTTCGCCTTAGAGTCGTGGAGGACGAGGAGTGGAGAGGAGGCATGTTGCCACAGAATTTCCAGGTACCTGAAACATGGATTAAGCATGTCTTACACATGTAAAAAAAACATGTTGAAAACATTGGTGAGAACCTTTGTTTCCCACACACGTCAAACAGATTGTAAATTCAATGATAGGACCGTTAGGGTGCCCATTGTCGTGGCATCCACAACCTTAGAATATGCAACCGTTTCAAGGATGGAGGGTGGTACCTTGTTTTATGTCGGGCGTGTCCCCCTACAGGGGTATTCTCTACGAAAACTAAGAAATACTCAAATTTGTGTGCATATACAAATATAATAAAATAAAAAAACGTCTATTGTTGGACTATGTTTTGGTTATGTTTGGGGTATTTTTGATTTTTCGTCGAAAATCCCCCTGGTAGGGGGACAGGCCCGACTTAAACCTTGTTTCAGAACGCTGTTTTCGCCCGGGCGCCGCGCGAGCTCCGTCGGAACAGTTGCAAGAGCTTCGCGGAGGGAGGGCAGCTTCTTTTCAAACTGCGGTTCGTGCTTCAGCGCTGCGCGCATTCGTACGAAACGATCCTCTGAGCTTCGAGGATACGCATGGGCAACGTCCCAGACACTGCGTTCTGGCACGACGTCGGGTATGTCCGGGCGCAACAGTTACGTTGAGTCGCGGCGTCGAAGGCCCAGGACTGGCGTTCTGGCGCGATGGAGGGCCGTCAAGACGCAACAACAGCGGTGATTCGCGAAATCCCATGCATGGCCCTTGGCACAATTCACGGTTTCAAAACGTCTGCCTTCCAAGGGGGCTAGCAGAGGCTTACGAGGAGGAAACTTGGGGGGAGGAGCCAGTGAGCGACAGAAGCTTGCGGTGCGACGATTTGCAGAATTCTGCAACGGTCCCTCGGCGTTCCTGTTCAGCGCTGGTGAGTTTCTTCGGAGGTGGATAGACCTCCTACCCTGACACGTCGATTAGTGAATTAGCCGTTTTCGGTTCGCGAGAGGGCGTCGCGGCCGTCGTTTTTGCGGGTCCAGGTCCGACGGTTTCGGCCCCAGGCCGTTTTCACTGAGGGGAGGCTTACTAAAGGGAGGTTGATCCACCGCCGATTTCTGGCAGTGGTCCCCAAGCGTTGCGTCTCGGCTCATCTCGCTGTTGGCAGTGCTGGCGCGGGGTGCCCAGCCTCACGTTTCGGGCGCTTCCCCCTCCGCTCGCGAGCCCACGCTGATTGAGCCAGCACCTCGCGTCATGTAGGGGACCGCATGCGAGCCCTACCCCTACCCCCCACGATTTCCGAGGGGGGGGTCACTTCGCTTGGGAGCTCCCGGACGAAGTGAACCCCACCCTCCCCCTCAGAAATCGTGGGGGGGTAGGGGTAGGGTTCGCATATGGCCCCCTAACATCGCCGAGTGCAGGTGGATTGGCGCACAGCGCGCCAGCGACAGGCTTAGAGGCACCTTATAAATTGCCACTTTGTTGCGCACGGGTGGATCAGTAGCCTCAAAGTCGATGAGCAACGCAAAGCTTTTCCTCATCCTCCTCCTCCTCCTCCTCCTCCTCCTCCTCCTCCTCCTTGTATCTTCGTCGTGCGTGCCAGGACGCTCCCGGAGCCTTCCCGAGCGCTCTGGAACAGCCGCGGCTCCCGAGGTGCACTCCAGAGCCGCTGGATCTCGGAGACCCCCGATCTAGATGTGGTCCCACTTTGTCCCTGTTCTGGCTTCGTCTTACGGAGTCAGCCCGCACAGCAAGGATGAGCAATTTGCCCAAGCCTCTTCGCTCCATCCCTTGCCCACGTTCGCTGGCCGCGCCCCGCTCGAGAAGCCTCGAAGTCGCCTTCCAAGGCCCTCTGCATCCTCATCGTGCATCCCCTATCATTACGGGTCGACTGTGCCTCGGCGCCCCGCTTCCCGCCCCTCGCCCGCCCCCGCCAGGGCGTCGGCGGACGCCACCCGCGCGGCCGCGGAGGAGGCGAGGCGGCTGGCGCCCATCCGGGCGGCGGCCGCGGAGGCGAAGCGGGAGGCCGAGGCGCGGAAGGAGGCGGAGAAGGCGCCAGACGCTTCTCCTCCCTTCTCCTCCCTCCCTCCCTCCCTCCCTTCTCCTCCCTCCCTCCCTCCCTCCCTCCCTCCCTCCCTGCCTCCCTCCCTCCTCCTCCTTCCCTCCTCCTCCTCCTCCTCCTCCCTCCCTCCCTCCTCCCCCTCCCTCCTCCCTCCCTCCTCCCTCCCTCCCTCCCTCCCTCCCTCCCTCCTCCTCCTCCTCTCCTCCGCGGCCGCCCCATTTCCCTCGTTCCCCCCTGTGGCGCGCCGTCCACTGCTCGTGTGTCGGTCGCCCTGCATCGCCGCCCGCCGGAGCAGCTCCTCTGCCTCGCCGCTGACGCAGAAAAGTGTTTCGGGAGGCTCTCGTCGAAGACCGATTTCTGACCACATCCACCTCTGGATCCTCGATTCTATGATAGGCCCTCGGGGGTGGAAGTGGGTAGTTGTTCCTTCCCCTGGGGCGGGGAAACTGCCCACCTCCACCTCTGGAAACCGCGTTTCGCAAGGCACCTCGGGAAGTGGGTGTGGTCAGAAATCGGTCTCTCGGGCCCCTGGACTTGCTCGGAAACTGGAACGTATACATTACCAGTGGCGGGCTGTTTACCAATCCCCGGATTTTTTGGGGGGGTCGGGGACGACGTCGGGGTGGTGTGGTGTATACTTGTTGTCCCCGTTTTCCCGTGGAAGCAGCGAAAGATGTATACACCAGGATGCCGTATACACCAGAATCCGTTATCTTGTGCGGATCTCAGTGCGGTGTATCAAGTTCGGTTCTTCACTTGGTATCGCTCGGACGTGTGCACTTTTTCTCGGCGGGGAATATGAAGGAGCATCCTGGATCATCCTGCGACACAGCCACGCACAAAACCGAAACACGCACAGGGAATGGACGTCCGAGCGATGGCAAGTGGGGTGTCCTGCATCAGCTGCGTTTCGTCGAGAGGCGTCCGCGGTTTTGCCAGGAGCAGCACGAGCGGGCAGGGGCCCCGGTCGTGGCACGAGCGCCCCTCGCGGAGGAGGGCCTGCGGGTTTTGGAAGTCTTCATGGGGAGGCGCTGGAAGTTTGAAGTCTTGGTGGGTTGGGTCGCCCCGTTCCCTCCCTCCGTTTCCCATGACTTTCAGAGGACACGCCGTGCTTGCACGACGTGCCTCCTGGATCGTGACTCCCGAAGGCACCGCACCCAGGCCTCCGAAGCATGGAACTGTTCAACGGCTGTTTCTCGAGTTCGCTTTCGGCGCGTCCCGCCCATAGCCCGAGCGGCGCTTGCACCTGTTTCGGCTTGCTCGCGCCGGCTGACCCAAGAAGTTCATCGAGCTCGGCCCAGTTGTCGGGACCGCTTTCATGCCGCAGGGCCACGTCAAGCCCTTCCAGGATTGAAACCTGCCCCCGAGGAGAGACGGGGCCGCGGGCTGGCAATGCTCCACGCGGAGATCCACATGTAGGCGCGCATATATCCTGGCAGTGTCCATGCCAACGTACGCGCGAGTCTGGTTTTGAGTTGTACTGAAATTAGGCGATTGTGTACGAGTGAGTCTGGATGTGAATAGGTATGAGGATGGGTGCCTGAGGGCGAATGGTGTAATTCGGCCCGAGTGTGAGCGTGTCTGGACAAGTGTGTAAGTGCGTTTGTATATGAGTGATCCTGGGTGAGAGCGGCCCAACATGAGATGTTGAGTACGAGTAGATGTAACTACGCGTGTGTATTAGTGAGTGGGTCTGAACGCGTGCGCGTCTGAACCCGCGTGCTTCTTAATATGAATGTATTCGCGCATGAGTGGGTATGAGTGTGAAATGTACGTATGATTGCGAGTGGTTCTGTTTGTGCGTGGGGTTGGATATGAGCAGATTTGAATGTAAGCTGATCTGAGTTTGAGCGCATTCGCGTATTAGCAATACGAAGATGAGTAGGGGAGCATGAGAATGCACACACTAAGTATGATCATTAACAATATTTGGCATGAGTAAGTTCGAGGACGATTGGTATAAATGTGGGCCCCTATGGGTATGGGTGGGTCCGGCCTGCGTGTGAGCTCGGATCTATGTGTCAGTGACCGCTCGCCGGTGTGACCTTTAGTGCGGGCTCGTGGGGGGGCGCGACACTAGCTGTTTGCGCAAGTCGATGTTGTCCTTATCGCGGCCCCTTGCAGCCGCGCACAAAAATGTCACCCCTGCCCAGGATCACTTTGCGTGTAGCCGATCAGTGAATCCGGCAGAGTCTGAGTCCCAGTATCTGGGCATGAGCGAGCCTGAGTGGGCGAGCCTGGAAATTGCGTAAGAGTGATTGCGTATGGGTGTGTGTGTGCGCGTTTGAGCGCCATTATGTACGAGAAAGTGGCCTCCTGGGCCGTTGGAGCCTCGTGGGCCAAACGACAAAGAGGAGGAAGAAGTGGGTGAGGAGGAGGGGGAGGAGGACAAGGAGGAGGAGGACGACGACGAAGAGGAGGAGGAGGAGGAGGAGGGTGGGCGAAGAGTTAGATGAGAAGGGGGAGGCGTGAAGTAGGAGGAGAAGGGGAAGGAGAAGGAGGTTTGATGCGGACTCGGGGGAGGAGCGCGACCCCCTGATTGAGCTGGTGCAGTCAAGGCGTGGACGAGGAGGTGGGGGGGGGAGAGGGACTCCGATGTCTGGAGTGGTAGCTCGGAATCGGTGGTTGACCTGGTGCGCAAACGTGTTTCGAGTCATCAGAGTATGAACCTCGGAGTTCCTGACCACGACTTCGTCATCCCGAACAGTGGTTTAGCGGGGCTAGAAGTCTTGCGCGGGCTGTCTGCAAGACTGGCCAGTCACCATGCCAATGACGAGGTAGTGGTCAGGCCTGTTTGGGTAGCTTGTTGGGGGCCTCCAGGAAGGGGGTGATGACCAGGGTGGGTGGGTATAGATCATGGCCGGTGCCATGGCATTTCCCCGGACCGCATGCCCCTTTTTGTTCGTACGACATCAATTTAGCGGCAACAAAACGGGGCCGTTTGCGTCAACACTCGCGCGTAAGGTCGCGCTTGAGCGCCCTCGTCTCCAATGTGGCGTGCCGCGCCGGCGGCCCGCGTAAGCCGCGGCGTTAGGTCGCTACCTCATCTCACGAACCCGTTTTTTTCCGTCGCTCAATTGGTATGATTGTTCTTGGTTTGTTTATTTATGTTGTCTTCCTAATTGTTTTATATGTACACATTACTGGAATTGCTTGTAGTATTAGCCATATGACTGTCATTAGTATTACTTGTCCCCCTATTCCCATTTTGTTAGTCGTATCATTAGTAAGTTGATTTGCTCGACATGTTCGCTAGTGTCCCCTCGTCTGCACACATGCCCTGGGCAGCGATTGGCTCCCCCCCTCTTGGATGTCCCCCTCTTGGCACCCCCGAGCTTGTAACTGCATGGGCAGACAGCAGCAACCTCCGTCCCACTAACCGCCAAGTGTTTCATTTCGAAGACTGGCGGCGCGTTGAGACGGGAAGTGAGAGGGGACAGGCCTTCTCAGATGGCGGCCGGGCTTCTTGGAGGTTCTCCGGCCTTCGGAGAAGCCGCCTCTGTCTTCGGAGAAGGCCCAGAAAACTTCTCGGAAGGCCGGAGGCTTTCCGAGCGTTCTGAGGAGGCCCGCACCTTCCTGTCACCCAAATCTGTGCGACCCGTATATCTCTCCAGGTGGAATTTGGGGAGACTGAGGGCGTATGTTGTCGGATGAGGGCCTACGTTTGAACGGGAGCCCCCTTCTGGGCTCGATCACCTTCACCCATAACCCATGGCGCATTCGGCTTCTTGCCCCTCATCATTCTAGTCCTCCCTATAGATTTGAGCGTATGCTGTTCATAATCTGGCGATCGCAAACATGGATCGAGGGGGCACGGATTAGCGACGGGTCCCGTTTCCATTGGGAATCGCGGATTCCCGCCACCGACCGAGGCGGCATTGGCAGCATGCTGGGGAGGGCACCTCCCCCGATCCATGGATTTGTCGACCGCGCGCCAAATCCATGGATCGCCAACCCATGTTTGCGCGCCCCAAACATAATCTTAAGTCGGGCCCGTCCCTCTACAGGAGCAATATCCAAAAAGAGTCAAAGAATAAGATGGGGACTATGTTTCGAGCATTTTTTGCCCATCTTGGAGTATGTTTTGAGTATCTCTTTATTTTTCTTCGAAAATCCCCCTGCAGGGGGGACACGCCCGACTTAAACATAACCTCTGCCTTTTTCCCCGGACGCACCGCCGAAAAGACTGGTCCTTGTTTCTGGACGCCCGAAATTCGTACGGAAAGAATGGGTACGATGCCCCACAGCAGTTCCTGTTCATCTTGAACAGGACTCGCTGTCCGCGCCGCCGCGGCCTGTGCCCACTCGAGACAGAAGGCCGCCTGCCCAAGAGCGGCCGCTGTTGCTTTGGGACAACGTTTGTTGTTGGGCATTGTACCCATGGTTTCCGTACCCACTTCGGGCGTCCAAATTGTTGGCCCCTCCAGGCTGCCGCCGCCGCGGCGGCCAAGGCGGCCGAGGGCCCCGCCGCCAGCGGCGGGGCCTCGGCTGCGGCCGCGGCGGCCGCCGGAGCAGGGGGCGGCAGAGAAGGCGCGGCGACCCCGCCGGCGCGGCAGCGGCCCGCCGTCCTCAGCGCAGCGTTGTGGTCGTCGTCGACGTCGCTGTCGTCGTTGTCTTATGTCGGGCGTGTCCCCCTACAGGGGGATTTTCGACAAAAATGACAAATACCCCAAGAATATTCCAAAAAGGGCAAAAAGTACTGAAAAAAATGTCCCTGGACTCTTTGGATTATTTTTTGAGATTATGTTTGGGGTATTTTTCATTTTTCGCCGAAAATCCCCCTGTAGGGGGACAGACCCGACTTCACGCTGGCGCGACAGCGGCCCGCTGTCCTCAGCGCAGCGTCGTGGTCGTCGTCGACGTCGTTGCCGTCGTTGTCGCGAGGAGGACGAGGGTTATGATGTTCCAACCTGCTCCAGCCTTGGCCACCAGAAAGAATTTCGAGCATCATGAAAGTACCGAAATTGGAGGGCTTTCACGTGTCGGGCCCTGGGAGACACTCGTCCGACACTTTTTCGACTTTGTTTCGATACTCGTTCGACATTTTTCCAGGTGCTCGAAATGATTTTTGGGATGTGGTCCTTAAGTACGATGGGAGCAACACAAGACGAGGAGGAGGAACAGTGCAAGCCTAAGACTCATCAGCGATCTTGCAATAAACCCTCCCTCGGAATCCCCTCTTCACATGCTCCTGCAAGAATGGGTTCTCATTGTAGGACGTGCCCCGTAGGAAGGCAACCGTCTGAGAATCCTCAACCATGCAAAAACACCAGTCTTGTGACTTCAGCGCCGCGAATCAACGTGAGAACTGCCTGACATTCCTAAATCGTGCCCGAACGCCATTCCTGGAACTTCAACAACACAAACCCTTGAAACTGCCGCACGGGTTGAAAACGAATGTTCGTGGCGTTAAGGCAAGAGCCACATTTTGAACAGGAACCGTCTTCCAGTTTTTGAATATGCTGCAGACTGTGAAGTCGAAGGTGCGTGGCGCTCCGGCGAGAGCCACACTTTGAAAATCACCCGCCCTTCACTTTGGAAATTGCTGCAAAGTTCAAGCTTCAGGATCATAAATGATGGCGGAGTCTCAGGTTGGACACCAGACCCGCCCTGCCGACACGGTTGGGTGGGCGCGACAGGGAGGAGCCAGGTTTTTAAGGTTACGGGATAGAGGAGGAGGAAAAGAAGCAGTAGGGATAGGAGTAGGAATAACTAAATGACGACGTCATGGGAAAAGGCAACCCTCTCCCCTGAGCGCCACGGACACCACGACGTTGAGTCCAAGCGCCACGACGAAGAACTCAGGAAGCTCCGAATTCCTCGCCGAACAAGACGAAGCGGTATTGGAGCGGCCCGTGTGGAGGTTACGCACGCCACCCGTGCAATGCCACAACAATGGAAGATAAACCGTCGTCCACCATATTTCATGTTCCTCCGCTGGTTACGATTAGTGTGACTTCCAGCACACACTGGAATTGAAGCATATGGGATGGTGAGCACACCTGCTGCGAAGGAGAAATGCCAGGCCGTTGACGCTAAGCCATCCAGCGAAAGCTTTCAAAGGGGCACGCGAGGCCCAAACCGATTCGCAGCGAGCGCACTTCACTTTGACAGCAGAGAGTGCTTGATCCCATGGACGCCAAGAAACCATGCGAGACGTACCAAAACAAGGTGAGACAGGCTTGAACCAAGTCCTACCAATGAAAGCAGATGGCCAGTTGACTGCAGTACAACGAGATGGTTTACACGCTAGCCCGTTGCAGCACGATGCGCGAACGCATGCCGAGAGGACCGCGTGTTGCTCCAACCAAGAGCCTGCCCGCTGCCACCGTTCGCCCTTCTCGCACGTGCTGATCCAAGCATTGTAGCGGATGACGGTTGGCACACGCATCGTTTTGCCATCTCGCCTAATTGCCGCGTAGCGTTGCTTATGTCTGCATTTCTCGCATTTGCCGATCCGCGAGCGTTGTAGTTGATGACAGTCGGTCCAAGCTTCGGTTCCCACAATACGCTCAGCAGCGACTGAACACTCCAAAGTTGTTCGCCCTTCCCGCATGCGCCGATGCCAGCACCGCAGGAGATGGGGTCAAGGCTCGGTGCCCAGAACAATTCTGCCTGCTGCCACTGCCCAACCTTCTCCAGACAGGGAGGGAGGGAGTCGACGGACGATGCAAGCTTCGCCTCCCACGGAATGCTCAGCAGCCGCGGCAACCGCTGCCACGTCACGCCCACCTCGCACGCGCAGAACGTCAGAACAATAGCATAAACACAACGTGTGAGCATGCGGAGCGAACCAAGTATCCCCGCTCGTCCAACAGATCTGCCCGCCTTCGCCACCGCGATCGGCTGCGAACTTGCGCGGGAGGCGCAGTGCCCCTCAAGCAACTCTGGGCGGTGGCGGACGCGACGCTAAAGCGAGTCCGAGCCCAAAGGGCACCCACGCGCCATGGGACGCATGTGCTTTAGAGGAGGAGGCGGAAGAAGAAGGAGAAGAAGACGAATAAGAAGAAGAAGAAGAAGAAGAGGAGAAAAAGGAGGGGAGGAGGCGGAAGAGGAGGAGGAAGAGGAGGAGGAGGAAGAGGAGGAAGAGGAGGAGGAGGAGGAGGAGGAAGAGGAGGAGGAGGAGGAAGAAGAAGAAGAAGAGGAGGAGGAGGTGGAGGCGGAAGAGGATGAGGAAGAGGAGGGGGAGGGCGGAGGCCCATGCGTCCGCAGTGTATAGTTCGACCCTGGCCGGCGCGCCCCTTCCCCCATTCGGAGGGGCCGCCGTTTGCGTGTTTCGCTCCAGGGGGACCTGTCTGCCGACCGAAGAGCTCGGCTGGCCAGGCCCGCGGCCCGCCGGAGGAGGGGAGTGGAGGAGGAGGAGGGGGGCGGTGGGGACGAGGGGGAACCGGGGGGGGGGGGCAGGAGGGGAGGAGGGGAGAAGGGGATGGAGGCGGCGGGGCGGGGAGGAGGGGAGGACGGGGGCGGCGAGGAGGAGGGGAGGAGGTAAATGGAGGAGTAGGAAGAGGAGAAGGAGGAGGAGAATGAGGAGGAGGGAAGTTGAAGAAGAGGAGCCCATCAACAGCACCGTCAGCAAAATTGAGGCCCCATCAGTCGACGAATTTTCGACGAGCGCGACGAGGACCGCCACGGTGAGATCCTCGCTCTCCCGCCGCTGCTCCAGAACTTGGCGCCGGCGCCAGCTCCGCGAACGGATCCGCGTCCTCGACGGCGATGTGGTGCACCACCGCACGGCGACCGCACCCGACCAGGACGCACACGCGGCCGTCCTCCACCTCGGGGCCGCCAGACAGCGCAGTATCCTTCGGCAGGAAATAAGTATAATGAGGACGGAGGAAGAGGAGTAGGAGGAGAGCGGACGGGTGAGGAAGAGGAGGAGGAGGAGGAGGAGGTGAGGAGGAGGAGGAGGAGGAGGAGGAGGAGGAGGAGGAGGAGGAGGAGGAGGAGGAGGAGGAGGGAGGAGGAGGGAGAGAAGGAGACAGGAGAAGGAAGAGGAGGAGGGAGGAGGAGATGGGAGCAGGACAGAGAATAGTATGAGGAAGGACCAGTGAGAGGAGATGAAGTAAGAGGAGGAGGAGGAGGAGGGAGGAGGAGGAGGAGGAGGAGGAGAGGAAGAGGAGGAGGCGCAGGAGGAGCAGGAGGAGGAGGCGGAGGAGGAGGGAAGGAGGAGGAGGAGGAGGAGCAGGAGCAGGAGGAGGAGCAGGAGCAGGAGGAGGAGGAGAAGTGGAGGAAAGAGATCAGGAGTAAGAGTCTGGATGAGGACGAGATGGAGGAGTTACCGAGAGGGTGCTGCGTAACTCGGCGCGAGCAGGGAGGAGGAAGAGGAGGAGTAGGAGGAGTAGGAGTAGAGGAGGAGAAGGGAGGAGGAGGAGGAGGAGGAGGAGGAGGAAGGAGAGGAGAAGGAGGAGGAGGAGGAGGAGGAGGGAAGGAGGCGGGGGATGAGGAGGAGGAGGAGGAGGAGGAGGAGAAGGGAGGAGGGGAGGTCAGAGGAGGAGGAGGAGGAGGAGGAGGAGGAGGAGGAGGTCCGTAGCCATTTTGGCTCAAGCCATTTTGGCTCAAGTCCGGAGGCATTGCTCAAGGATTTGTGCAAACTGGCGTGGGGATTCCGCGGCCCCGCCTGCTTTGGTGTGTTAGGCATCACACTTTTTTGGTACTGTACTGAGGCCTGTCCTCACGGCCTAGTGCGAATCACGGCTCAGGCGCGATGGCAGACTTCAGGCTATGGGCTTGCTCGCATAAGAAGTGTGGTTATCGTTTCAACTACATGTCGCGGGAGGCCTGCCGCGTCTGCGGGCGGGCCAAGGGCACCACACCTCAGCCCCCGCGCGGCGAGCGCAAGCTGGGGCAGTGGGTCAACGGGCCACCAGCATCCAAGCCAACCAAGACGCCAGGGCCGCCTCTCGACGATGGCCAGCTCGAGATCTATGCCAGGATGTCCTCCGCGGATTTCGCCAAGCTCTCCGAGGGGTGGCCCGCCAAGGCTGTCGGGCGTGTCGTGGCGCAGCGGTCATTGTTTCAGGGCGACCCCATGGCTTCGGCAAAGAGTGCGAGAATCGAGCAAGACAGGCTTCATGACCAGCTGGCGCGGGCCCAGCGTAAGTATCACAAGGCCAATGAGTCCGCCATGGCAGCTGTTGCCGCCGCGGCCAAGGCCAAATCCGAATTGGATGAGTTGGACAAGCAGTGTAAGGAGGCGGCAGCCAGGGCCGCGCGCGCCTACTCCAGCATGGCGCCTGCGCCCGCCGCCGACCCTGTTGCCGCGCTCCAGTCGCTCGTGCAGGGTCTCAGCAGCGACGAGAGGCTCAAAGGCATTGGCGAGCAGCTGGGCGGCCTCTTGCCCGCCCTGCAGGCCCTCGTGCCCAAGCCTGAGGCTGCGCCCGAGGCGGCGGATGTTCCCATGGGCGGAGCTGCTGATGGCGACGGCGCTGCTGCTGCTCCTGGAGGCAGCGCTGCCCCCCCCCCCTGAGGCCGGGGCCGCAAGCGCTGCCGCCGCGGCCGCCGCTGCGGCCACAGCCGAGGCTGATGCTCGG